GTCACTACACACTCTTACACCCGCCCCCCCCCCCCCCCCCCCCAGTGAAAAAATGTTTAACACAAAAATGCAAGATAATGCTGCAATCATAATCTAGTTGTCTAATAAATCTGCCATTTTGTATTATAAATATTACTGTTTGAGTACTTGCTTTATTCCTCTTTTGTAAGTCGCTTTGGATAAAAGCGTCTGCTAAAAGCATAAATATAAATTTAATTGGTTGAATTTGTGTTGCATTCCCAACTTGATGGACTGGATTATGCATCATCGAAATTAAGTAAAAACTAAACTGAAACTAAAAATGCAAAATACAATAAAACTAGTAAAACCTTCTAAACTATAATAACATTTCCTAGGAGCTGTAGCAACCATTATATGGAGGTACATTTTTTTTAGGTCTTTTTTTTTTTACTTTACTAAGGGCAAAATTGTAGTTAGTCACATATACAAACTATTTCAAACTATTTTAATAAATGTAAACTATTTTACAATCCTACTACATCTAGTGTCTATTTACCATTGTATGCCTTTCAGCAAATCAGGTAGGAGAACCAAGACTGCTGTTGAATATTAATTAAGACTGCCCAATGAATATTCATGAGCCAAGCTGTTAAGTTCTGTTACAATTGTGCCCTCCCTACTTTTCACATGGCTGTTCAGCCTCTCCATCTTGCACGTTAAATCACATCGGTCCTGGACGCATCAATATGACGAGCAGCCGTGTTTGTCCAAGACTTCATTTGACAGAGCAGCCAGGCATTCAAAGTCAAGCTGTTTCCAGGGTTTGGAAAGCGGCCCTCTCCTGCTAAGATTATCTCTTCCCGACAGCCGGCATCTCGGGAGTAATAAAACAGTCCAGGTCTATTGGAGGGCATCTGACGGAGGGCCTCTGATCATATCCTGCCCCGGGCCATGTGTACAAATGGTGCGGCATGGCAAATGCCCAATAACCCATTTCATCAGTGTCAGGCCACAGGCAGAGGCCATGCGAGGTGGCGCGAAATGTTTTGTAACCGCAAGCAAAGAGCTGTCAAGCCTGAAAAGAATGTAAAAAATACTCTTCCAATAGATGTGTTGGTGTCCTTACAAAAGGACACTTCTTATCTTTCATATCTGACATGCAGTGTTCAACCTGCTTTTGTTGCGTTGAGATAAAAAGACACCAGTGTTCAGTAAGTAATTACACTACCATTCAAAAGTCAGTATGATTTTTTTTTAAAGAAATTAATGCTTTTTTTCAACAAGGATGCATAAAATTTATAATGTTACAAAAGTTTTTTTTTTTTTTTTCAAATAAATATTCTTTTGAACTTTCTATTCATCAAAACATCCTGAAGAAAATGTATCACTGTTTCAAAAAAAAAAAAAAAAAGCAGCGCAACTGTTTTTTAACATTGATAATAATCAGAAATGTTTCTTGAGCAGCAAATCAGCATATTAGAATGATTTCTGAAGGATCATGTGACACTGAAGACTGGAGGAATGATGCTGAAAATTCAGCTTTGCATCACAGGAATAAATTACATTTTGAAATATATTCAAATAGAAAACAGTTATTTTGAATTGTAATAATTTTCATAATTTTTGATCAAATAAATGCAGCCTTGGTGAGCAAAAGAGACTTCAAAATCCCCAAAACAGAGACCCCAAACTTTTAAACGGTAGTGTATATTTACTGTATAAAAAATAATAATAAACAATTCTTTAGTCAAGTAATATGTTTTTTTTTTTTTACTGATTATTGAAGGTTTTTTTTTTTATCTCTTTATTTTTATTTTCTTGAAACAACACACACAATGTCACAAAATAGCTACTATTCAGGAAAGATGCATCATCAAGCACTCTTAGCTGTAACACTGTACAATACATGACTTTGGAGCCAAGAACATTAAAGCTTTATATTAGAACACCCCAAAACAAATACAAAGTGCTTTACAATCAGGCATGTTTACATGAGCAACAGAGTGTTAATATACAATCTTTTATCTTGATGTACTGCAACAACAGCTATCCAAATAGTGTATATTCAGACAGTTTGATTAAAATAGATGTAATCCAATATATTCAGTCTGCCTGTAAGAACAGTCTTATTGGTTTCCAGATCTTGATGAAAATGGATAATTTATGTTTTAATATATATCTCAGTTCTTCCAAATGTAACATATTTCCCAGTTCCCTTGCCCACATCCTAAAAGATAATTTTTTTTGCAAGCAACGTGCAGAGCGAAATGGCCTGTGTTTGATATTTACTACAAAAGGCATTTTCTGCACCTAAAAGTCCAATACAAGGCTCAGGCTCCAAGTCGACAGAATACACTTCAGAAAGAAATGTAAATACACATTTCCAAAATGGCTTAATTTTACTACATGACCATAAAGAACGAAACAGGGTGCCTTCTAACGTTTTACACTTATTACAGAGTGGGGAAATCATGGGATACATTTTATGAAGTTTTAATTTAAAATAATGAAGCCTATGATTTACCTTGAACTGAATCAAATTATGTCTAGCATTTACAGAACATGTATGTACATTCCTCAAGCACTCATCCCACATGTTTTCATGAATATTCAAACCCATTTCCTCTTCCCAATCATGTTTTATTTTGTGAGTGTTATTGTCCACCTTTTCTACCAAAAATGTGTACAAATTTGACACAGTACCACTCGCACCAGGGTGTACATTAACAATACTCTCTAAAGTTGGATTTAAATTCAAAGCTTTAAAGTCTGAACTGTGCTTCCTAGCGAAGTCTCTGACTTGCAAATAACGGAAAAAATGAGCAGGAACAAGAGCATAGTATTGTTTTAGTTGTTCAAAAGAACTAAATGTACCTTCCTAATAAAGATCTTGTATTGTTACTATACCCATATGTTTCCATTGAGAAAAGATCTTATCATGTAACCCCGGAGGAAAAGCATGATTATTACAGATTGGGGTATCTAGATATAAATCTGGAATTTTCAAATGTACATTGATTTGTTTCAATACTTTAATTAGATTTGAAATAACTACGTTACCATTGATATTTTTGACTTCAATTTTGATGGAACTGTTAAAGGGTTAGTTCACCCAAAAATGAAAATTAGGCTGTGTTTTACTCACCCCCGAGGCATCCTAGGTGTATATGACTTTCTTCTTTCAGACGAATCCAGTCGGAGTTATATTAAAAATTGTCTTTGATCTTTCAAGCTGTTTCATGGCACTCAGCGGGTGTTGCATGCATCAGTCCAAAAGAAGTGAAATAAAAATCGCCCATCCTTAATAAAAAGTGTCTCACACGGCTCTGGGAGGTGAACAAAGGCCTCCTGTAGCGAATCGATGCGTTTTTATAAGAAAAATATCCATATTCAAAACGTAATAATCACTTTAATGTAGCTTGCGCCAACAGTTGTACACAGAAGCAGTTCCGGGAGCATGACGTATGAGGTTGGC